CAGTCGTTCGGAAGCGAGTAACTACTAAATGTGTGGTCAGACGACGGAAAAGTTCAGATTCAAACTGACGTCCGCGGTCTGTAGTGATGGTTGAAGGGCAGTCGAAGTTTGCTACCCATCGTTCGACGAAGGTGCGGGCCACTGTTTCAGCAGTGATGTCCTTGATAGGTACTGCTTCTGGCCATCGAGTGAAACGGTCAACGCAGGTTAAGAGATAAGAGTATCGATTTGAATCTGGTAATGGTCCTACCAAATCCAAATGAACATGATCGAAACGAGTATCCGGAGTCTTAAATGAGCCTAAGGGACATTTATTGTGTCTGATAACCTTAGATTTTTGGCAGCTTACACAGGAGCGTGCTTACTCTCTCACGTCTTTATTTATGCCAGGCCAGCAAAACCGTTCTGCTATAAGCTTGATGGTTGCACGAACACCTGGATGAGAAAGTTTGTGCAACGTATTGACGACGTTGCGTCGATAATATTTCGGCATGATTGGGCGATTCCTACCTGTAGATGTGTCACAAAGTAAGGTTTCCTTACCTGTTCCCATCTGTTTGATGCGTAGTTTGAGTGTTGTAGACGACAACTCGTGCTGAAGATCACTGTCTTCTTTTTGAAGCTGGGCGAGTTTAAGAAGGTCGATTCCTTGGAAACTGTTCAAGGAAGTTATGCAAGACAACGCGTCTGCGACTACATTGTTTGCTCCAGAAGTATGTTGAATGTCTGAAGTAAACTGCGAAATGTAGTCCAGTTGTCGAGACTCACGGGGAGAGTACTTGTCTGAAGGAGAGCTTAGAGAGAAGGTGAGCGGTTTATGGTCAGTGGAAAGATTGAATTCACAACCTTCGATGTAGTGTTGAAAATGTCGTACAGCACAATACATAGCTAGGAGTTCCCTACCGAATGTGCTGTACCTCGATTCGGTGTCTAGCAACCGTCTAGAGAAAAATGTCAATGGTTGCCAGGAGTTGTTAACCCATTGTTGTAAGACTCCTCCGATTGCTGAGTTGGATGCGTCTACTGCGATACTAATGGGTGCTCGAGGGTCCCGATGTGCAAGCACTGTTGCTTTAGCGATGAGTTCCTTAATTGTGGAGAATGCTTTTCGTGCGGTGTCATCCAGATTAATGGATTTCGCATTACCACGAAGTTGGTCGGTTAGCGGTTTCATGAGTAAAGCGCATTTAGGTATGAATCGTCTATAGAAACTTACAAGGCCGTTAAACGTTCGTAAATGCTTGATCGTGGTCGGTTCTGGGTAATCCAGAATTTTCATGCAATTGGTTCCCTTTATGAATTTAAACCCAGAATTGCCGCCACTTTGGTCCTAATGGATCGAATGCCTTGAGCATCTATAGTGTGTCCTAGGAAGTCTAATGAGTCGGTCCCGATTTGGCATTTCCGAACGTTTACAGTAATGCCATGTTTTTGTAGTCGTTCGAAAACAAGATCCAGATGCTTGAGGTGTGATTCTCTGTCCGAGCTTGCGATTAGGCAGTCGTCAACATACGCATGTACGAAGTCGAGACCTCGAAAAACGTCGTCTATGAATCTTTGGAATGTTTGAGCAGCGTTTCTAAGACCGAAGGGCATTCGCAAAAATTCATAGAGTCCGAAGGTAGTAATGATGGCAGTTTTCGGAATGTCGTCAGTGGCCATGGGAATTTGGTTATACGCTTCAACCAAGTCGATTTTCGAAAAGACAGTTGTACCTTTCAAGGTAGCTGTCAAATCGTGAATGTGAGGCAACGGGTAACGATCGGAAATGGTTTTCGCATTCGATCGCCGATAGTCACCAGTTGGACGCCAATCGTTGCTGTCATTTTTGGGGACCATGTGCAACGGAGATGCATATGGGCTACTTGACGGTCGTATGATTCCTAAGTCTATCATGTGATCGAACTCGTTTTTCGCTAACCTTAGCTTTTCAGGGGCTAGTCGTCAAGGTTTAGAGAATACAGGTGGTCCTGTAGTTTTAATGTGATGTGTAACGTTGCTGGTTACACACTGTAGTTTCGGTTGCGTCTGATGAATCCCAGGATACTTATCGAGTAGTGGTTGATACAGTGGGTCTATCGTATGCTTAATTGTGACTGGGGATAATCTGCAACCAGTAAAAGAGGTTACGCAAACGGATAAATTAGTGTTTCCGTCTACTAGCCTCCGTTTGCGAGTATCGATGATTAGATTATGGTGTTGTAGAAGGTCCATACCAATGATTGGCAATAGAAACACCTGCAACAACGAAGATCCAGTGAATGGGTTTGCGTAAGCCCACGTTAAGGTAAACGTACCTTTTGCCATACATAGCGATAGGTTTTCCATTTGCCGCCTGTAAGTTTGGAGCCGATTCGTGAAGCCGGTAGTTGGGATTCGCTGGGAGAACGCTAACTTCCGCGCCAGTGTCGACGACGTAGCGAACTCTCGTTGTCACATCTGTGACGTGTAACAGACGGCTATGTTCGCCGGCTACGGTTGCCGTTAACGCGTGCCGGCTTGGAAGTGTTCCGAGTTGTTTTTCGAGTCAGTCGGTTTTGAGTTGAGAAAATTGCAGGGTTTTCTGCAATTTCTGGGAGAATTTCCATACTAGTTATGATACCAGCACCAGTCGGGGTTATCCGTCTCTCGTGGTCTAGAGACAGATCGCTTACGTGAAGTACTTCTACGTGGGGTGTGTGATCGCCTACGGTCGTTACGAAACTTAATATAACGCGTAAGTGTATGACATAACTCGGTTATGTCATTCTGAGTCGTTTGAGGCTTTTCTTTGACTGAAAAAACCTCGGTAGTAGAAGATTTCGTAATTTCTAAGGTACGATCGGCAGATGCAGCCAGTTCGTCTAAGGCGTTGTTCTGAAACGAGACCAGAACCGCTTGCACCTGTTGGGGAAGTTTGGACAAGAAAAGTTGTTTGAATAGGCCTTCGTCGAAAGTTCTTAGGCCTATAACCTCTCTCATCTTTTGCAGTATGTCCGTCGCAGAACCGTACTGCAGGTCTATGTTATTAAAGAGTTGATCTAAACTTTGTCGACCGGTTAGGTCTCCTCGTTTAAGAATCGAACGCTTTAAGGTTTCGTACGGGTCAGAAACATCACTAGTAAACATACTAGGTATTACGTACCTGTTGAATTTCCGCAGTAGTGCCTTGACTACTGCGAGGAATTGTGCACGTGTGTCGTTCACGCCGTGCTCGTGGAAGTCGGCTTCTACGTAACACAACCAGGCTTCGATATTGTCGGGCCAGTAGGGCATGAGTTGGAATGGGGGTGGGGACATGGTCTTAATCTTAAATACCTTAGGAATCTGTTCGGTCATAGGGGAATATTAAGTACGAGAATACCAGGGAAAATATATATAGATATCCTGAGACACGGGGAAAAAATATCACAATATATAAAAAATAAGGCAATAATATATGAAAATCCCAAAAAGGAACAGACTCACAGTTGCAGTTAGGTGTACCAGATCACGTCGGTCTCACCAATGAAGATGGCGCAGGTATTCAGTGTTTGACAACGCTTTTACCAGCAACACCTTCTAATATAATTTGTACCTACCAAGATAAATCAAAAGACAGAATCGAGGAGATCGGAAGAGTGTATTTGGCGATAACCAATATATTGAAATTCTCTGATATAATCTGGCTAGCGATTGCGGTAGATGTTGAGCACAGCGTTACCACACGTGATCTGGTACGGATGCATGACCGAGCGCCTTCAGCTAGATGAGTCCACTAAAACTAATCTGGTCAGCATCCAATTTCGAAAACTTACAGAGCTATTTATTTTGGGGATTTATTTACCGCTACACACTCCTCCGATCTCCTCGACTCTGTCTTTTGATTTATCTTGGTGGGTACAAATTATATTAGGTGTTGCTGGTAGAAGCGCTGTGAAATACTGAATACCTGTGCCATCTTCAATGCATTCCCGGCAAGCCAGTTTATCTAGTATTCTTGAGACATTCGACTTTTTTAGCACTCGCATTACCACTTTATCGTTTTGACTATTACACTGACTAGAATTAGAGAAGTCGTGTGGCTGAACTATCACCCGTTGGATATTACCAAATGCCTAAAACCGCACTGAAACAACAAGAAGCGAGTGCAAATGAATCAATCGACCAATACATGCTCATGACAGAGATATTGGATATTACAGTTTTGAGCTCCAATATTGACCTTGCAATATGTGCACTTGTACTAATTGCCAAAATTTTAACTGCAAGCATTCTTTCACAACTAAACATATTTAGTTATTCACATCACCGCTTATTCCGTCTTATGTTGTTGTTTGCCGTTATATTTCCAAAAGCAGTCTTATTCAAGTACACAGACGACCTTGAACTGCGACGAAGTCCCTACTTATAGGACGACCTATGATAATTCATTTAAATTCCACTGATCAGTAGTTTTAGCATAAAGAATCAGTCATTGTACATGAATTATTGTTATTCTCATGAAAAGTCAACACCACCTAAAAGGCAAGAACGTTTTGTAGCCTTTTGAATGGTTTTCCCTTCGAAATCTTATTGGTTCATACACTATACTCTATGAATTAGCTACGTCTGCCAACAGACTTGATGATTTACATGACATCATATCATGTTACAGTTGTATTATTTAATATATAGTTTTATGGTCATGATCCATACAGCTGGATTACGTTCCATCTAACAGGCTTTCCAGGATTTTTTAAGTGTCTTATGGATTCGATATATATATATATATATATATATATATATATATATATATATATATATATATATATATATAGTTTTCTCAAATGCATTGGCTTTTGTTTCTCCTCCTTTCACTTAGGATTTTGGAAATCACGTCTGCTTTTTCAGGAGTCTTATAAACCAATTATTGGGCGAATCACCAGTGTAGTAATTTAGAATTATTATAAACCGCGTAAGTTAGATATCAATGATGGTTATTGTATTGTAGAAGCAATTTAATATCTACTATCTTGTTACTTCACCAGTGTTACGCAGCTATGTCAGGTACCATATTTATTTAACAATTACTCATAGTTTATCAGATTCAGATTCAACTTTACCAGCCACAGACGACTTTGGGTCAAGGTTCTTAGAATTTGATGAATACTCTTTCGAGCAGACTGATAATACAGAAGTAAATAAATTATATTTTTGTGTAAATGAATGCTTGTTAAAGAAGCAGAAAGCGTGTTCTGACTAGTTTCATTTCCCGAGGCTATGAACCAAGTTAAATTTCCTCAAAACATTTCGCCCAGCCTTACAGATGCCTCTGAAGATGACCGTAAAGCGTCCCTCCCAAAGAATCAAATTGTTTTATTAACACCAGGCTTGTTGCTACTGGTAGCTTACGAGAGTTGGAACAGACTTAGTTGACACACGCAGTTGCTAGTCTACAACTCTCACTTAAGTTCTGCGAGATCTTGCTCCTAAATGACCTACCTTATTTGCTTTGCGTATAAGTGGCGTTATAAGAACTACGGAAATTAAAATGTTTTAGGGACGGTAAAAAGTTCACTTTTTTAATAAGTGGTTCGTAAAGCAAAGCTGCTACCAATTTTCATGGCATCTTTTAAATGTCATTAATACTCACCTGGGCTTTCTAGTGAATTAACATTAAGTTGTAACCTAGCAAGAGTCGATAATTGGTTTGGATGATCGTTCCAACCAATTGGTTTGGGACAAGGTGTCTGTCTATCACTAAAATCCAAGACAGATGATCTCCTACGTACTGTCGTATTAGTACAGTTCAGTCCGATTATATGTTTTGGTTCACTTTCTAAGTACATCAATATGTTATTGCAAACTCCGAAACTTGGTAAGATAAGTATTTCATAATGTTTATGAAAGCATTGTATGAAAACAAGGAGTGGTCTCCAACTGGAATATGATAACCAGATCTTCTACAGACCGAAATTGACCACTGAACATAACTTCCGTCACGAAGTGACAGCATAACATGCTGCACTGTTATTGATTTGCACTTTATTCAGCTCATATAACTCTGAACTACGTGCAGATAACGTCTCCAAGTATGTTCGATACACACAGTCACCAAAGTCACTTATTATACTCTACCTTCTTGAAATCAGCACTAACAATCCATAACTTGCTACTTTGCAATTTACAAGACAAAAATAGAAACGTCCACTGGAGTAAGAGGACTTTTTAATGAAAACTGAAAGATGCAGTAAAGTTGGTAATATCCCTAACATTTATGCAAATTAGTTACAAGGTCACAGTCCCATATAGGATGAAGTTATGTAGATGGTTCAGCACATCAAATGGAATTTTAGAGGATGGAGTATAGCTGTACTTGATAATAACAGCTAGATAGTTAAAAATCGAATAATATTACAATTAAGTCCTTTCGAAAAAATTTCTGAATTAAGAGACAATTATATAGAATGGAAACAATGTGATGCATTGGGGTATAGGTTAAAGTTACATGAGGGGACGCCAGGTACTGTATATTCAGCAACTGTTCCAATTGTTGTTTCTGGATACAACTAGGCTTTGGTCTGCACAAACTACATCTTCTGTTATGTGACCGATGTATCCAATTTTCTAATGAGCACCACAATAGATCTTTAGTTTGTGGTAATTTTCCATACAAACCGGGATGTTTTAGTTTAAGTGGATGCTACAAGACATCGTTTTTTCAGTTTATTAAACTAAGTGAACTTAGCCTAGCAAAACGTAAATAAATTTTGTTTAGGATATAGTTGATCAGTTTCGCCTCTCTTGTATAACGTATTTCCGTGATTATTGGATGAGTAGTATTACAACATGCTCTTGAATATGACTGTCTTCTACAGGAAACATCAATTAATAGTTTATATAGTTTAATATTATTCTGCTGTTAGGCCATCATGGGGAGTTACGAATCACATTTGGTTTCAGGATAGTTGTATGAACTGAATTCGAAGACAGGTTTCGGAAAGCAACAGTCGGAATAATGATTTTCTAAATGTTAGGTGAACTCTCTGGACCTATTAATCATCCCGGATACAAGCAGTGCTACGATTTTCATATAGTAGATAATTTAAGCTATTATTGGTTTACAAAATGGTCAGCTATAATAAAATAACTTAAATGGTGTGAACCAAAGATAAAAATAAAATTTGCTAAGCAACCAATGTTTACTTAACATTACTACCCAGTTCACTTTTAGAATGATTTTTGGCCAATGTTTGTCTTTCAGAGTGATGCTTTTTCTGCGTTTCTACATCAATTTCGCCCCGTTGCCGAACAAAAGGTTTCGTTTCTCGATGAGCGGTTGCTTGCAACAAATAGTGGACGTAAGAAATACATAAACCTTGCTCTTGAAGATGACCAGGATTCTAATACAAGTGACAATTTGAAGGCCGGGGCTAGCTCTGGTAACAATTCTGAAGATGATGAAATGGAATATAAACCTCCAAAGTTGTTAACTGCACGACAGATAAGTTTACAATCACAGAAAACTGCTGTTCCAACTGATATTAAGAACATGAAGCAGTCTACAGCTCATTCCAGACTAATTAGTCTAGAATCCTTGAATTCAACTAAACCAACTCCAACTTTAACACCGGAACAAATTGCCGTCCGGCAAAAAAGAATAGCTCACCGCAGAGAATCAGCTAAGCACAAAGCGGAAATGGAAAAGCTCCAAACAGTGGAACGTTTGCTCAAGGTAAGTTACCGTATCCACAAGGTCCAAAATGTCAGACACCGAAACTAACGGAATGGATGCAAATTTTACTTTTTTTCACAGTAATCTATGGTTCATTTCGAGTGCATGGGTAAGCTTCTGCACTTGAACGACTTGTGTAGTCTACTGATTATTAGATCCAGTTTGTGACATTCGTTTCTCAGGGGCGTTCCGGTTATTCTGATCCACACTAAAAGTATATAATAAACTAACTAGAAGTTATCAAGATATATTACTTATTATCACATATCCTCAAACCATACGTATCATAGTAGTGAGTTTCTGCGGGTGTGTTATGTTAATTTTGTTTTCACGGTTAAATAGTGATACTTGGGCATAAGACATTTCGGACGAATTAACCGAAGTATGGATTTTCTTTTTTAGATTAATGCAAATGTTATTGGGCGACGTGGTCGAGGTAGAGGTCTTCGGAACAATGGTTTGGCACACTGTGATCAGATCTCATCTCAAACGCGTTCACAGTTTGGTGTTTTAAAGTATGAGGGGGATTTAGTTGAAAAAAAGTATCTCAATGACACGCATGCTTCATTACGACCCAGTGAAGGTAATTGCATGAATACCGATTTTGTGGACAATGCTTATGAAAATACGAAATTGTCTGATAATAACATTTCTGCTAGTTTGCCAAATGTTCAATCATATAATCCCAAACCAGGATACATCCGCTTCGTATCTTCATCTCGTTTATCAACACAAACAGTCATCTGTTTACCTGAGACAGATAATAATAGTGACAAGGATATTTATTTGCACACAAATGTTTGCATACAAAAAGTCGAAGCTCCTGAAATACCTAAATCACGTCTATGCGACATGGGTTGCGGTTGTGCTAGGCGCTATGAATGTGCTAAAACAGGCCGCTCCTTATGTAGTTTATCCTGTTATAAAGCTAATTTGTCAGGATTCCCATTAACTATCTCAACTTAAATTGTAGCATTGACTTGTACAATGAATTTGAATGAATCTTGGTTTCTAGTAAAAAATATATCATAATAAAGTATGTTACATATTGCTTATCCGCGGTACTATTGTATCTACTTAGAAATTATCAAGATGTACCTATTAAGAAACGCCTTAGATGTTGCTTAGATGGTTATTTTTAGATAAATACATGTTAAGGTCTATGCACTTCCTGGAAACGAGGGTTATATCCCGATAGAACTCAATTTAAAGAAAGACCGCTCTAACAAAATCTTAGCAATTCATATTTTGAGTATCTCTCTCTCTCTCTCTATATATATATATATATATATATATATATATATATAATCTTAAGATGCGATCGGTTGTCACCACTATTTTTGCTGTTATCATCTACGTATACATTTCAATTGTTCCTGAGCTGTTACTTGCCATTCTTTGGCGATGTGAAATGAACATTAGACAAAGGATCAGCTACTGCCATTCTTGGCTATGTTGAATTCCAGGACTGGAGACCCGTGTGTAACGGAAGTAAGGCTACATCAAGAGTGGGGGTAGTAATAATCATTAAGTAGTGTAGCTTTCTCACCAAACAGTTGTGTACTTGACTAAGGGTTAGCTATACTTTCTGGTTGCCGAAATCATATATAGTGAAGTGGAGAGTAAGCCTGTGGCAAATCGGCTCGCAGAATCATCTGCAAAAACACGTTTATCGAAAGAGCGAAGACTTTGTAGCAGTACTGACATATAGTGGAAGAAAATTGCTTGATTGTTGTTTTTTGGAATGGTTATCCACTTAGAAAATGTTTACCAAGTATATCCATTTCGAGAAATAACTGTAGAATCTACCAAATAGATGCAAGTTCATACCAGCTTCAGCGTTGATAATGGCTGGTCGACTAAATAGATCATGTTGACCTATTTGAGAATTATACCAGAGATAAAAGTTAGTCTGTTGAGAATAAGTCAATTACGAACCAGTGCATTGTCTTCCTTGGTATGGAAACCAAACAACATGGTAAAGTAAGGAACACTATTCAAGTATGCGTTATTCTAGTTTTTTTTTAAGTACCTGATTGCTTTGTACAAATTTCCGAAGAGTATGGAATTTTTTTCTAACTCTTGTATCGGTGTAGCTGTCATAAAACTAATATTTTAATAGTATTTATGAACACGATGGGTAATAAACCTATCTCGTTACCTTTATCTTGCGACGTGCATGGCTTGTTCAGTAAATCCAACTCAACGATCATATAAAGTTTACTACACTTATTTGGGATAACCTAGTAAATATTCGTATTTGAAAAGTTATACAGAAAACCTAGGTGTAGGGAAGTTGTGAGTGGAATATTTTCCAAATAATTACCACAACGTTTTATAAGTATCAGAAATGTACTTAAATGAAAAATGGATTTAAGTTTCAAAATACAGGGAACTTCAAAGCGAAAATATGTAATATCAAAGCAAGTATGTACATCGCATGCAACTGTTGTGTTACAGAAGCTCGTTAGGGAATCACAGGTCAGTTTTCGGCGATTCATAAGGCTCCAACATGTTCCTGAACTTTTGAGCTTTAAGTAGCATTTCAGTGAAATAAGAATCAATGTCATCAGTCTCACTTTTCGAGCGCAGCTCGTACTCGTGTATGATTGAGTCCAATAAGCTTAGAATATATTGTTTGTTTGAGAAATTGAGTGATTTCCAATCACATACGTTGAAAAACTTTAAGCACGCTGTTATAACTTTTTCACGTATATCATGGTTTACTGGTGCACTTAAATCGTTATATCCCATACCCCTTTGAACATCTTGAAGTAAAGAAATATGTAGGGTTTCGCAAAATCCATACATTAGAAAGTTTTCTTCGAAAGGGATACTGAAAGTAGGAAAATAAGAGAATATGTGTTTTTACGCAATAAATATTTGTCCTCTGGATAAATATACTTTAATGGGAGCTAGCAACTTTTCCTTCAGTAGTGTTCAGACTTTGCTATTTTCGTAAACCAATTTGATTGAAGTAACTGTATAGTTAAACCATATTTGTTTTGTTATAAAAAGTCTTATCATGTAGTTTAATGGTTCATTTCTATTGACTTGGTCAGACATCGAAAGAACAGCCAGTGATTTTATAGGTTGGTGAAATCTATGTACAGCGACTCATGTATTTTCCGAATCTAATTCTACTGAAGTTAGCATCAGTTATTAAGGTTAGTAATGTAATTTATAACTGTCACTTTGTTTAGCGCAGACGTAGGTCCACCTCCGAATAATATTCTGTACTCATTGGTCACATTAGCGACATTTAGAGGGAAATTGTATTCAGGTATCAGTAGCTTACACATCACTTACCCTTAACGGTCGTGAGGTAAAATATAGCGGAGTGTTTCGATAGATACTGTGATACAAAGGTATGTAGTGAGAAAAGAGGAAATCATATAATAGTATTAAGAATACTATAAGTCAAATTAAACCACAAACGAACCTATCTCCGTTTTTAATTTGAGCACAGAGCTTGTACAAGACGACAGTAATCGATGATTTAGATGAAACTGGTAGTGGGTTTCTATCACATTTGAGGATTGGATTAACAATTCAGCCGAAAGTAAAGATATTCCGAAGTCTTTTAAAACAGTCCTGCGAACTACGATTCGGGGATCTTGTCAATTGCACTTCATGACAAATATTAGATGAGACTATGGTAGTTAAACACTTAATTTCAAAACCATTGTTTTCCATTGACACGGAGGTTATTAATCTGAACTCAACAAACTAGTTTAGTGAGTTATCATTCGATTATCTAGGGTTTCGATGGTAAGCTTTCATAATTCGTAATTACCGCAGCCAAGGGCCGCGCGTAAGACTAGGCACAAAGAATCATTTGGTGAGAACACGTGCTACACCCACCTGCCTAGTCTTGTTGCACTCCATTGGTTTTGATGCAATATCCTTTGTCAGCTTGACCAAGACAGGAAAAGTTCAAAGAGAAATCACAAGCTTCGTAGATGGGGTTCAATGCACAAATAGGAAGGTAGCTTAAGAGGCTAAGTGTCACCTAATGGCTTCCCGGTTTGAATTGTTTTATCTAACGCTGGTTTCGGAAACTAGGCGGTATCAGGCACGAAAGTATGACTCAAACCCTATACTTAGCTAATGACCATATCTATCTACACATGTTCGATCCGCTCACCTTATTATTTTACCCACCTTTAGTATACACCCACAATAAATACATTATATTATACTAACTTACATTATTACAGTATATATTATATAAATAATACCATTTAAAACCGTTTTTTAAACCTACAGAATTCAAAATAACGAAGCTTAATAAACACAATCATCAAATCCATAAGCTTATAAATGATAACTCGATCAACTTTAGGGTACGAAAGATCGGATTGTTGACTAAGTTACGATGTTTTAGATGTCACAACCAGCTGACATGTTGGTAGTCATAAAATGGAAAATCAATAAGCGAATAAGCACGGTTGTCATTAGATGGATATAAAACAGGTAGGCGAGCAACATAATAACAGTGATTCGATTCAGCAACCAAACACAATAATGTGTAGTTGGCTTTGAACATGGGTGAGTGACACGAACAGGCCGATCTGATGGACTTTGTACCTGGTTTATCTAGCAAACCAACACCTGACATTACAAATTGAACATTTCACGGATCATCTAACGAAAAGTAAAAATTGTTGTTCCAACTCGATTTACACGAGAGTTGGGTTAGAGACAACAAGACATTTGGAGCATATGTTTGTGAAGAAAGGGTGTTTAATATTGCTCCTACAGTCATAAGCAAGAATCATGAGTTCACGCAAGAGGAGTAGAATTAAACAAGAAAAATATTGCGATCAATAGATTTGCGCAGGTATGAATCCGTCGGAACTCACCTAGCATATATACTCCATACATCCATTTTTGTTTTTGTGGGGTCTTCCCCAAAAGCTATTTGGGTATCAAGCTAAAATAATAATAATGCATTAAACACTTCAAGTGAATTAGAACTGTGAAATAAAATAATTTGTTAGTACTATGAAATCAAACGAGGCATATAAACATATAATTAGATACTGTTTGGCAGTACACTTAAATTTAGTAGCTAAGTATTGTGAACATATTAGTTAGAAAAGCACCAAAATATCAAGACTATATAGTCACCAATGTTATCCTAAGACTTTACAGCCAATACTTTCCATATAGTAAAGACTATTAATTTTTCCAGTGTTGCTAGCTAGCATAAGACCAAAGTATTAGATTTATTGTCATCAAAGACGATATTTAAATAATGGCTCAAGCATAAAAACAACAGTCTGGTTGCCTAACTAAAAACCCTCAACATCACTAGAATTTAGATAACATCTTTTGGTGTTCAGTTCTCTGAGATAGATGATTTAATTGAGGATAATGGCTGTCTTCAGGACTTAATTCATAATAGTGAGATTTTTAGTTATTTCACAAGTGTGCTGTTAGATCATTCCAATGGCTTGTTTATGACTATATTTGTAGGTTGTTACTTACTTCACTATCATAACGCGCGTCACAACAGTGATTGTTCGTCCCACAGATTGTTTTCTTATTTCCTCTTTCCACAGTTAAGCCTACAATAGTTCCGTTTGACTTAACATCCCGCAAGTTAAGATACGCTATCTTTACTTCGAAACAACCTCAGTTGATAGCTTATGCCTGTGAATAATTGCTATCACCGCTCAAAATGTAACTTATTAGATTCATTGCGTGATTGTGCCTTCACATTTCAGTTCAGTTCTAAAACAATTACATAGGGTAACATCCTTATCATCTCTCACACTCTGATTCAATACTCAGGAAGATCTTTTTGATAAATTTCAATAAACGGGCCCCCCAGCATATTGAAGTCGGGAAAACAATTGAAAACGATTCGCTGCCTATTCTAATGTAAACGTTTTAGGAAAACTGTTATAAACCAATGTTAGTATTGCTCACCACGTTTTTCTGTTTAGTAAACTTTATTT